AAGAATTAACCTAAGGATCTGATGATGGCTAACGCCACAAAGAGTTGTGGACGGAATGGGATGAAATCGAACAAGCCATTGCCGGAAGTGTTGACTGGAACTCGGTCGTCCATTCGATACACCACTTTGCCTTGGCTCGGTAACCATAAGAAATCCGCAAACTCGTGTTTTTCCCCAAAAGTCACGGCTTGATCTTCAAAATCCGAATCGTTTCTCATAACATACGTTAAGGATCTCTTGAACATCGGTTACAATTTGAAAGTTACCTTTCCAAATATTGGGAAAAAAAATGTGATTATTCTTTGGAAGCATAAGCAAGAAAATATTAAAGGATTAAAGTAATTTATATAGAGATATGTGTATTTATATACCTGAGAAATAACACCAAGAACGCCTAGAAAAACTTTGGCTGCGTTAAATTCTTCAGGATTCATAGTCTCACTAAGAACATGAACCTTCACATACCCATCAGAAACCGAACCAGGACTCACCATTCTTATCTCCGCCACGTAATCATGAACCGCACTTCCTTTACCCCACAAAGAACTACCATGAGCACCTGTCCCCATCAATCCTCCAACCGTAAGTCCCCACCAATACGGTGCGTATGGCAAAGCCAGCTCCAACTTAGCCGCTTCACCGATCAGCTGCCTTAGCGTCACGTCGCTCTCAACCGTCAAAGTCTTGGCTTCCGGATCGGTTCGTACCACGTGGTTTAGTAACTTGGTGCTGATGAGAATCCCGTCTTTTCCGTCAGTGCAAACCAGCTTGGGAATGCTGTGAGAGTACCGAGTCACCACACGCATTTTTTGGCCGGCTCTAATGGCTGCAGCCACAACGGAAACAAGCTCAGCCTCGGTCTTCGGGTACTCCACCTTCCCGGCTTCACATATAGAACGGTCGGGAAAGGCTCCGTACGAGTTAGTCACCGTGCACACTGTGTTTCCGGACTTACACTTGACCGGATCGTCTGGTGGCGTTGAGGAAGCAAACGTGAGAAAACAAAATATCAAACTAAGCCAAAATGCCATTTTGTATGAAACTTTTCAACAGGAATTGCAAGGGAAATGTTTGGGCATCCTCTCCTTTATACATAATAAATATTACTTATTGTTTCAATACGTCACCACATGGTATTATTAAATGATAGTAAGTGCGACCTGTAAATTTGAGCTTTTTGTGGTATATATGAGATCACATGATCATTAATTTATTATTAAATGAAATTAGAGATCTTATGTAGAAACTGGACCTAGCTATATTATTGGGGCTTTTTGGGGTAATATACATCCCATAGTTACTCTTTTGAAAATGTCGTGATGAAATATAACTTGCCCTTAAACAACTCACTGATAACACAGGTTTTAACCCTAAATAAC